GCTCTCCGGATTCATGGGGGAAACTTTGGCAGGAATTTTGATAGTGATAAAATGGAATGGGCTTTCACTCCATTCCAGAAAGTCAACTTCTCCATCGATGACATTTTAACAAAGTTGTCAGAATCAAACATTGTCGGAAAGGGTTGCTCAGGAATTGTTTATCGCGTAGAGACTCCAACGAAACAGATTATTGCAGTGAAGAAGCTATGGCCAATAAAGAAGGAAGAGCCACCAGAGAGAGATCTGTTTACTGCAGAAGTTCAGACCCTTGGATCAATAAGACACAAGAATATAGTGAGACTTTTAGGTTGCTGTGACAATGGAAGAACTAGATTGCTCTTGTTTGATTACATATGCAATGGAAGTTTGTTCGGACTGCTTCATGAAAAGAGATTGTTCTTGGATTGGGATGCCAGGTATAAGATCATACTGGGAACGGCTCATGGTTTAGAATATCTTCATCATGATTGTATCCCTCCAATCGTCCACAGGGATATTAAGGCAAACAACATCTTAGTAGGTCCACAATATGAAGCTTTTCTTGCAGATTTTGGCCTTGCAAAGCTCGTGAATTCCTCAGAGTGTTCAGGGGCCTCTCATACAGTGGCAGGTTCTTATGGATACATTGCTCCTGGTGAGTGTAAAAGCTTTTGTCATTCTAAAACAGCAGTTCCGTTTAAGAAAACTTTCAGTGTTACATCATTATTTTTCAAAAAGTCAATAAAAAAATCACTGCCTTTCTATACTTTAAGACATTCCTTTACTCTCTCTTTTGGTACATAAAAAAATAAAAAAAACCTTTGTGTGCACACTTTAAGACATTTATTTTATTTTAAAATTAGGCTGTTCTTTCTATAATAGTTTCCTGAAACCGTATTAGAATTGAGAGCTATATCCTACTTTAATCTTCTTTTATTCTTGTTTCGTATATTTTGTCCATTTTGGGTCATTATCCCTATGACATTGTGACTGCTGACTAATCACCACAGCATTATCTCTCAAACTGCAGAATATGGATACAGTTTAAGGATCACAGAAAAGAGTGATGTGTACAGTTTCGGTGTTGTACTTCTTGAGGTCTTAACGGGGATGGAACCAACTGATAACAGTATTCCAGAGGGTGCCCACATTGTCACATGGGTTAGCAACGAAATCCGAGAGAAAAGAAGGGAATTTACATCTATCCTTGATCAGCAACTAGTATTGCAGAGTGGAACCAAAACCTCTGAGATGCTTCAAGTTCTAGGAGTGGCTCTCCTCTGCGTGAATCCATCACCAGAAGAAAGGCCTACTATGAAAGACGTAACAGCAATGCTCAAGGAGATCAGGCTCGAAAGTGATGACTTCGAAAAACCAAATTTTCTCCATAAAGGCATGGTTGTGAATCCAAAAGCAGCAGTTCACTGTTCAAGTTTCTCCAGATCATGTGAACCTTTAATAATAGAATCAACATCTTCTTCTTCTTCTTCTTAGCTACCAATTTCAGTACTAGATTTGTTAATTTTTTTTTTCAAGTGACAAATTATTTGTATAGATTAGTATTATATGGATTTGGATCCTTCTCTTTAGGAGATATGATCTTGTTAGAAAGAGAAAGGCACAAACATAATTGGTGGATTCTGCAACAACAATAGTTATTGTTTAATAAAAATTATGCCTCTCTCTGTTCAACAAAGACCACATGTCCATATCCTTTTACTCAAGAACAATGTTATCTTATGGCAATTCCTCACTACACAATTATGTTCTTTCTGTAGATAAATTGGAGTTAAAAACAAGTCAGATAACGCCAGAAACTTGCATTTCGACGACAAGTATCAAAATGTTGCTTGTGTTGCACTAAAATCCATGAAGAAAATGCTCCAGGACTAGTCCCACTGACACAATCTAAGAACCTGCTTTTGCCGACAACAGTGGCAGAAGTAAACAAATTAATAGTGGTAGCGTGGCTGAGACCTTTGGTTCAATTAACCTTGCTAATAATGACTTGTTAGAGAAGGGGCCTTAGCATACGAACAAAGCTTTCAAGGGACTGGAGAGATGGGCCATTGAAAAGCAAGAGCTGACAGTGCCTTCTTTCCTGGCATAAACCTCTAAAGCGCAAAATTATAGAGAGAAGAGAAGCACCAGGACCACCAATTATTTATGTATAGATAGAGATAGCTCGTGCCCATGTCAGTGAAAAGAAGTCCTTGCTTTTATTCATGTGATTGGTGACCATCCTTGGCCCACACATACTTTGATACACATTATCTCCCTCGTTACAAACCAAACAACACTTGGAAATCCAAGTATGGGTCTATATTTCACGTTAGATAGAAATGAAATAGAAATGAGAGAGTAGAGTACTGTATAAAACTGAAAGACTCGTTAACTCATTGCCTTAAGATTTTGGGTAGAGAGTGGTGTCAATCCCTTATATGATTGAACTCCAATGTTATTGGTGTTTGCGTCTTTCAGTAAACCTCCTCCTTAATAGATCCAACACTGATATAAGAGTCAGATTTGTCTTGATGACCGGCTCACACGAATATAATGATCCCTGTACTGAAAGTCTTTCCGAACTTGATAGACCCAAGAGCAAACATCAAGATTAACTACTATTTTCCCCTTACAACACTAAACTCTATAATCAGATAGTTCATATATATCTACTTCTTTTGCCCAGTAACAAAATACTGCACGTAGTTCAGTTTATGTACAACAGCTTTTCATTTGTACTTTATACAGTTCTCTTTGGATAAAGTTCTCCATGACAAGAAAATGAATCAAAGATATACTTAAAAATGTATCCAAACACGAGAAAAATTTAATCTCTTATATTTTTATTCTCTAACAGCACAATTTTGAAGGCTTCCTTTTGTATGATCACAAACCCACGGTCAACCATTGGAAACAAACAAACTATAGCTATCGCAACGTACAGAAATAAAGCATCCAAGATTTTTTTTTCACTCGTCACTAAATTGATGGATATTATAATGGCAGTAAGATAATATGAAAAATGATAAATGAGGAAATATAGAATTGCGTGCATCAGCAACAAAGAGAACAAATGGAGCACAACAAACCACGTTTGGAGGAAACAACAGGAGACAAAGAGGTACATACAGATGAATCTATTCAAGAGTACAGAACGGAGTAACTACTGGTGTTTTTGTTTCTTACAAACACAAACACACATAAATTAACCCTACTGGTGTAAGGATAAGAGCTGAAGAACTAGAAAACAGTCAAATGATGAAACGATAATGACTATAGTTCAAATTCAAGAGACTTTCAGAAGTTAAGGTGTGAATGCTTCTAAACAAAATGTTCATTTCATGTTTGCATGTATAGTTTCTTTATTCTCTTGGAGCATGGTCTGGTTTTTTCAAAAATCTGAACCAAATCATTACAACTTGTTTGGATTTTTTTTTTTTTTTTTAAAAACTAAGTTAATCATTTCTATAAAAACTGATTTGGATTTTATTGAAGAAGGTTGAAATTGTTTTGAACCAGAAATTAATTTTAAAAATCAGTTCTAAAAGTTATTGTATATGTGAGCTTAGATTTTTGAAATAAAGAAGTGTAATATCATTTTAAGAAATGTAATTTATACAATAACTCGTGTAATATAACATCATTTTTATGCCTATATCTTCTTCCTCATAACTTATTACGTATTATAATGATAGAGAGATATAAACACAAAAAGAATAATATCATACAAAGTAAAGCATTTTCTCTCCAATCTTTTTTGTTTTTGAGGTTTAATAAAACTGGCTATAAAAAAACTATGTGGTTATATATGTGTGTACATCTCTCTCCCTTCTACACCTTACAAGTTTAGAGATGTCTGTCTTGTGTTTCATCCACTCCATTTTACGATAAAAATAGGACATTCATACAAAGAAAAGAAAAGAAAAAAAGGTAGGAAAAAACAGTAGTTATGGCACGTGAAAGGCATTCTCTATTTCCCTCCACTTACAATACAACCATAGAAATAGCGTACAAGAATTTAGGAAAGTCCACAAAACGTAGAAGTAAAGGTTTTGTTTACTATAAAAGTCTATACACATGGAAATTCAGTCAGTTGAAAAGAAGACAATTTCCCCGAAGTGTTATTTTATTTGTTTTTTTAGATTTTTTATAGTGATATTTATTTTTATAAAGTTTTCTTTCGTAGTAACTTACTTCCGTTAATTCTATAATAATAATTCTGTTAAATTATGTCGACCTCAAGTTTTTGTAGACATTTTTCTTTCAGTTTTGTTTAACAAGCATTATCATCTAAATTAAAAATGTAAGAAGATAAAAATACTAAAGTATTTTCGTCCTTAAAAAAATACAAACAGTAGCATTTAACTAATAACATAATTTCTTACATAAAAAGTAACTTACTATAAAGAAAACCTTAAAAACTGAATTACCACTATAATTTTTTCATCATAAATCTTTTTGTGCTAAAGTAATAGCAGCAGAGATATTAATTATAAGTAAAGTGTTTCAGGTAAAGGTGAGGAATAGACAATGCTTGATGAATAAAAGAAAAAGGTGGAAGCAAGGGTAGTGGAGGATGATAGTACAAGTAAATAATTGTGGACAAAACACAAGGAGCAGAATATCTTGGTACTTTTCTGGGGTCCATAACTTGGTACTTTAAAGTTACTTCGTTTAACTGTTTCGCCTCATTAAAACGGTTAGGCCATTTACATTGAAAGAACTGGACCATGTTATGATGGTCTTCAGCAACCGCAAAACTTGGTAACTGGAAAGTATCAATTATAAGACAAATCACACGGACACCACATCATGATTTCTCAATTATGCGTCCCAAAAAGAGAGCCCAAACATGATATGAAATTATATTAATGAAGTTTACTTTGGTTTTATAAGTATACTTTATTGTCCTATATTATTAATGCATAAAATAAATAAAAAGCTAATATTATTATACATTTCAAGTTCTACACATTAAAAATGAGAAAATAAGTTAAGCATTACATTGTAAAACAGTATGACATCATAAATTGTCGTGTAAGTGGATAGATAGTACATGGACATTGTACTCTTAGAAAACATCATAAATAGCTTATAACAAAAGAAAATATGATTGTATTTCCAGGAGGATTGCAAAACAAATTTCATGACATTATTACAGTTACAACATAAGATACAAAGAACAATGACACCCGAACCTCGTGTGACCGAACGGTGGTTTCAATATTTTCATCAGCTCAATTTAGTACACAACTTAAGTGAGATAGCAGTATCCATAAGAACCACAGATGACACCATTTCCTTGAATGTCACACTTACCGAAATTCTAGGTGGAGAGGAACACTGAGAAAACAATAAGCAGGTGTAAGATTGTAATATGGTTTGTGAAATTACATAAAACATAGAAAAGCCTGAAAAAGAAACTTTAACTCACTGAATCGTATCTTTTGAACAAGATAATTACGGTTTATCGATCAAAACTTCTTCTCTGGGTGCCACTTTATGCTGCATCCAACACTTTATACAAGCAGAAAAACAACGTAAATGTAACATGCCTAAGCTTGAAAGACTCAAACAATTTAAAGGACCACAATATGTAGAAAGTACCTGGGCTTTTGCACTGATGGTACCGGTTGGCCACTAAGAACACGATCTATTGCCAAGCTCAAGTCTCTTTATATAGAAATTTAAATGGTTACTACTGCCAAGAAATAAAATATGATTGAATAATTGTTTGATGCTAATTCAATATAAGAAACCAACCTTCCAGTGACTGGTACATTATTACTTGGCCGTGAATCATCAAATTGGCCATGATAAACCAGCTCAAATGGCCTCCGACCAGCCTGTTATTAATCGATAGAAATATGATATATACACTGACACTCGAGGGTTTAGTTTCACCCCTAATCAAAATCATGGTGATCAATGTGCAGTACAATGAATAATGATGGTTGTAATAGAAATTGCCTTTTTGAAAAGGAAAAATTCTGGGGTACAAACAGCTCCAAAATCCTGTGCAACATCCTGCGACTGCATAAAAAAATCCATCAAATATCAGTGTTTAACCACATTGAAGATAAAGCTTCTATTCAATTTGAGTCATTGCTATTAGAAAAGACCTTCCAGTTTTAATATAAATAATCTATAGTGATCTGGAAAATTATGGTTCTGATATTCACATCATAAAAATACATACATTAGGTTGTGAATTAAATAATTCAATGAAAACAAAAAATTGATTGGCCTCCTTTTTCCAGATGGTCTTATGGTCTTAGGTTGTAATGGCAGAGTTTGGATAACACTGTTTAATATTATTTTAAGTAGTTGGCTATTTAGGTTCATCATCCCAGTATTAACATGATATCCACCCCCTGCTTTACATGGGAAAAAATTATGTCATTAAATAGGCTAAAGGAGTCCAACTCAGATAATATTACTGAAGGATGTAAAAGCATACCTCATCGTATAGATATGGGAAAGGATATTTAAACATTTTAGCATCCTCTGCCATGAATTCTGGACCATCCTGTGAGGCACAATTCCAAGTTGCACAAGTCATTCAATACTTTCAATGTAGCTTTATTCCAGGATATGAAGTTACTAGAACCTGGGGGTGTGTGGCAACGGAATTTGAAGATATAGCAACAACAGCAAGTCCTTTCTGTACAAAGAGAAAAACAAATTCTTATAACAGATTTAACTTGTGCAAGTCCAACCTGCAACGGTAGAAAGTAGTATGTTTCTTCCCGGATAATTGATTTGACTACCTCCATAAAGAATTTTGTAAGCTTTACAATGTCTTTTTTCAGGTGCTTAACGAATGGACAGTGGTTGCATAGAAACATAACCTGCATGACCACAAAAAATAGGAAGATGAGCAGGGTCTTACTTTGCCTATTGTCATTAATTTAGCAACTAGAGAAAGGTCTTAATTTATGCATCGTAATTCATAAAGAAGAACAACCATAACACTTCACAAAATTTTAGGCACGAAAGTGTGTTCCCTCAATTTTTGTTAGCTTGTACGAACGAAGACATAAGCATCCAATAAGAAAAAAGGAAATTACTTATTTGCTGCTATTATTCTGCAATATCTACTTTAAAGAATTACTACCTTAATATAAAACTAGCATGAAAATGCTAAAACTTGGACAGTTAAACAAACTCTTTCCAATTATACATTAAATACTACAAACATAGCATAAGAAGAATGAACAATCAATGAAGTGAGCAAAACAAACAAAGTTAACAAAAGGCAAAAAGAATGAAGATAAGTGGCATCTTACCAGTAGAGCAGGATATGCTTCAAAATCTTCTAATGTCCAAACCTTCCCAGTAAGGGGCTCCGGAAGCTAATACAATTTCAATCCATCCAAAAATAAATAAATAAAACATATAATAATTACTCCATTCCATGTTTCAAAGAAAACAAAAAAAAAATGTGGAGAGAGGGGAAGTTAAAAACCTCGAATTGCGGTGCCCTGAAGCCCAAGGTAACACCTTTGGACTCTGTTCTAGAAGCCCGAACAAAGAATGTTGTTGGGAATAAATATTTTTTGCGTTGCAAGCGTAGGGGTTGAAAACCAAGGTTTGGAACAGAGCATGCTTGTGGGAATGCGAAGGCAGTTGCAGAAGAACCTAACTGCAGAAAAGGTGACCCAACAGAAGACACTTTCGGTCTCAGTCTCAATGCCATTGCTGTGTCAATCTTACTCCAACATTCACTTCAACCTCAATTCTCCATCATCATCATCGTCATCATCAATATCATCCTCTTCTTTCATCACCCCTTCATTCTTTTCTGATCTTCGTTATTTCACACTCATAATGGGCCTATATTGTAATGGATCATCACTAAAACCCAATTAGTAGGGCCTTTAAAATAAAAAAGTAATTGGGCTAAAAAAACTTACCTGTTTAGGCTTTGGCTGCTGCTGCTTGGTCTCTCTTTTTTTCCTGGATCTAAAAATTGATTAAGATTAAATGTTTGTTTAATTAAAAAAACTTCTCCATAAACAACAACAAAAATAAGATTTTACATAAAAAAAGTTATATTATACATAAAATTAAAAATTAAATTTAAGAAATTTAATAAAAACAACTTTCGCCAGTATAATATTACTTTATATTACTATTATAATAAAATTATCTTATAGATAAGGTTATTTTCTTTTTGTTTTTTATTTTATTTTATTAGTTATATATGTATACTTTAATTATAATATGATAATATTTAATTGATATTATTTTTTCAATCGAATATTTAATGCATAAACATATTTATGGTTTGAAAATTTGTGTGTATACCATGAGCATAATTAAAATATTCTTAGAAGATTTTAATACGTAGCAATATAATGGAAGTTTGAACCACAATAATAAAAAGAGTTTGGAAAAATTTATTTGTGTGTTGCTTAAAGAGTAAAAAGCAATTTTTCATAAAAAAGTATAATAATAGGAAAAAAAACAACTAAACATAAAATAAGTTTTCTAGCTAATACTAAAAATAATAAGAATAGTAGACAAGAGATAAAAATAGGAAAATAATATTAATATAGGGTTAAATATGTTTTTAGTCCCTAAACTATTGGCCGTTTCTGGTTTTCGTCCCTGTTTCAAAGTAAGATACAATTTAGTCCTCATCCTTTTCGAAAACGTTCGTTTTAGTCCTCGAAAACTAAACACTGTTTAAAAATTTGGTCCTCATTTAGCAACAAATGAGGACTAAAACCAAAATTCAGAGGACTAAAACGAACGTTTCGAAAAGAACGAGGACCAAATTGTACCGTACTTTAAAAGAGGGACGAAAACCAGAAACGGCCAATAGTTTAGGGACTAAAAACATATTTAACCCATTAATATATCGATGTTACTAGGGTTTCGATCACTTATGATTTTGAGTGAAGCTTGAATCATATGTTTTTTTAATTTTCTTATTAGCCTCGATAGGATGGAGGTGTAAGCATATTGAGCAACTCAGACTTAGAGAGATCAGCATTGCATAACTTCATATACAAGCTTTTGGTGCACATATTGATTAATTAGTTGAGATATATGTAGAAGATACACTAGTCATTGTTGGATATTATACAAATAGTATTTGACAATCAATGTCTAAGTGTTTGGTTTTGTTACATGTGATTTGTTACAATGTCAAGAATACTATGAATCCTATGATTATCACAGTTATAACTACATAACATTGACATAACTTAAGTTTAAGTAGATGAATAAACCATTATAGCTTACTTGTCATAGCTACAAGATATTTATATTTTACTTTAATAAAAAAAATGAGACATAATAATTTGTTGTTTTAGTATTTGCCAAAATTAAAAAGCTACCAAGGAAGAAGTATCAATTAATCTACAGTGAACACAAGTCATTTGTGATAAAATCTGATTAGAATTTTTTTTCTCTACTTAATATTACTATTTAAAGATAAATTTGAATAATTTTAAACATAAATTACCTCATTTTTTATTTGGTAAGAATAATATATAGGCAAGTATTATAAGATTTAGTAACTTATCAACACGAAATTAGATCAATGAATATTTCTTCAAAATTTCTCTCTAGGAGAAATCCATTAGAGTGGAAGTAGGATTTGAACCTTAAAATACTAAAATCAATTAGAATCAAGGTACTATTTTCCCAAACATAGTGAAATACTTAAACATGAATAAGCCACCTACAACCCTACAAAATTCTTAATATGCCCGAATCTTTGGTATGAAAATAAGAATAAAGTATATGTTTTATGGAAGATGTAACCTGAGTGTCACAAGGTTTCACAGAAAAGCTAATAAAGTAGAAATTTTTTCACATCGACATTTTTAGCGTTTAATGATTTTTCTCAAAAGTCGTCTAATGAGAGGTTGTCTAACACTAGAAAACTTAGGTCATCTAACACTCTCATATGGTTTTCTAACACCCTCACATGATCATCTAAAACTTATCCACATCTAGTACTAAGGAGTTGTTGATAAAGGGTTTTGGTGTCGCACAAGTCTTATTAAATAAAAACAAAGTTTTTTCTTTTTACTAGTGTAGTATAAAAATCAACCTAAGTTAGTCCAAGGAATACATATAAGTTCATTGATAGAAATTTATTTTTGTCACTTTGAAGGTTGGCGGATTAGGAAGTTGTTGGGAGGTTTCGGCAAGTGTACCGAATCGTTTCAAGTAATAAACCGTGGTAAGACCAAGTATCGTTTTTCCAAGAGACTCGTGATACTAGAGAATTGTGCAATTAACAACTCATTTAGACTCAATAGAACATCATTCATTTACAGATATGTGCAACAAGATAAATTCACAAATATACAATGGTTGGACTTTGGTAATTAAAGGCACTTAGATATGGACAAGACTAGAAATGGTATGAAATGACATTGCTAAGGTTAGTTTTCACCTATTTCACTCTTGTGCTTACCCAATTTCATCTCCTCTCCATCAATTTACTAAAGTCAATCCACAAACAAAATCTAACCCTAATCCCTTAGGTGGAAGAGCCTAGGTTTTTTCATATTAAACTCCAATCCCTTGGAAAATCTAACAAGCAAACCCGCATTAATGAGTTAGGATCTTAAGACAACATGTGAATCATCTTCTATCCCTAGAATCAATGACCACAAGGACTCTTGTTTCAGTTCTAGGCTCCATCTTACGTCCCCATAATCCATGAAACCCCAAAATCAAGTCATGAACATTCCTATTACATGCAAGCTTTAAGATTAGAAACAAGAATACTAGCAATTGATACAAAAGACATATATATAATCAAATCAATCATCCATTACACAAGAATTCATAAGCTACATCAATCCCTATCAAGATGAATCTGGTTCTCCACTTTCATGGAGAACCCTAAAGCTTACAAAATGGAAGATGGAAGAAGAAGGAGACCCAAAAGAAGAGGAGGAGATGTTCCCACAAGCTCCTGACTGCCTCCATGAGCTCCAGCAGTGAAATCGCGCCTCCAAAGAACCAAAGACCCAAAGCCCTTCGCGTTTCTGAGTTAAATAGACAAATTTGTCATGTCAACAAAAAATGGCGCTTCAGCGCCCCTGTGTGAAGGGCGCCCCAGCGTGCAACAATCATGATGCAGTGGCGCTCCAGCGCCCTTAAGCCAGGGGCGCCCCAGCTAGGTTCAGTAGCGCTACTTCTTTTTCTGGTTTTTCT